TCCTGGTTAATAAATTGCCACTCCAGTGCCTCCTGTTAATGGACAATGCTCCTGCTCATCCTCCAGACTTAGAAGACCAGTTGTCTAAGGAATTCAGTTTTGTAACAGTGAAGCACTTACCTCTTAACACCACTCCTCTCCTCCAGCCCATGGACCAGCAGATCATTGCAAACTTCAAAAAACTGTACACCAAAGCAGTGTTTCAAAGGTGCTTTGACATGACCTCAGACTCTGAATTGACCCTAAGAGAGTTTTGGAAGAATCACTTCAATATCTTCCACTGCATAGGCTTTATAGATAAGGCTTGGCAGGGAGTGACTTCCAGGACGATGAACTCTTTTTGGGGAAAATTGTGGCCAGATTGTCCAAGAGGAGGATTTTGAAGGGTTTGAGGCTGACCCTGTCGACCCTACACCTGTTGTGCAATCAATTGTGGCATTGGGGAATTCCATGGGATTGTATGTGAGTGGTAACAATGTGGAAGAGTTGGTGGAGGACCAAAGTGAAGAGCTAACCACTGATCAGCTGCAAGAGCTTCATCTGCAACAGCAACAGACCACAGTTGAGGTACTTGCTTCAGAGGAGGAGGAAGAGAAATGGAAGAAGGTGCTGCCTTCAAAGATTAAGGAGATTTGTGCAATGTGGACTAAAGTACATTTATTTGTGGAGGAATATCGCCCTGAGAAAGCTTTTGTAATCCGTGCTGGCAACTTTTACAATGACTGTCATGTCCCATTTTAGGCACATCTTAGAGATGCCAGAAACAGAGCACTCTGGACAGATATTTTGCGTGACAGGGGTCCAGAGACTCTCAAGCTCGTCCTAGGGGCATTAAAAAACAAAGGAGGGAAGTGACCCCAGATAAAGACGTGGTACCTGGAGTCCTTATGGAGGGGGATTCCCCTTCCAAAGAATAACCTTTTCCCTCTCCCCTCCTCCCTGTCTCTCATCCATCAACAACAGCCATCAATAAAGGTAAGTGTCATGTTGAATGTTCATTCTTTTGTGTATGTTAATTTAAGGTAAAAATAAATTTTTTTTGTTAATAGTACTTCTGAGTGGAACGGATTAACCCTTTGAGGGTTTCAGACGTACTAGTACGGCTTACGACCCAGGGTTTTTGACGTACTAGTACGCCTAAATTCTAGCGCCCTCAAATCTAGTGGGAGAAAGCTGGTAGGCCTTCATATGAAAGAATGGGTCTATATGGTCAGTGTGCACAGTCTAAAAAAAATCCTGCAGCACAAAGTGAATAATGAGAAAAAAATAAACTTTGACCGTTTTTTTGGATAAAACAGCGACTTTGCACTGTATTTTCGTATGGTATTTATTGTTGTATTCTAGTTTTCTTGGTCTCATTTTATAGAATGGAAGACATATTACAGAAATTGAGATGATTTTGACTGGTTTTACAATGAAAGATACCTTGAAATTGAGCTCAAAGTAGCAGAAATGTTCGATTTTTACCAAATTTCAAAAGTAAACAAATCATGCCAATGGTCCAATACACGTCAACTGGTGAGTCTAATATTCTTTCACAAGTGCGCCAATAATATTTATACCATTTTTACACTAATGGCAGTAGTCTGCATAACGGTAAATCTTATATTTTTTGTGAGAATAAAATCAAAAGTGGGAAAGCAAAAGAATATAAGAGGGACCTTGATACGTACTAATAACATAGGAAATGTCATTTTAGAGCCAGGAATTCCCTTTCTTGTTATTTCTGGACTAATTCGGAAATTGGCACCTCTTTTGAAATTTTGTATGAAATTGCAAAATTGCTAAATTCCTGACCACTATACTGGATAGTTGAGTTTTCATAAATGGTGGTTTGTTGCATCCTTCGATAGAAAAAATGAGTTCTAGCAATATTCATGTTTTTTGTCGACTAGTACAGTGGAATTGGCCGAAAATGGGGCTCAAAGTGGGCAAAATCGCCGATGCGTAAACATCCCCGAGACCGCTAACTTCGCGAGAGCATAAATCCGTAAGTTTTCCCATCAAATTCAAACTTTTGGGTGTCCTTATGATCGGAAAAGAGCTCTGTCTTTTCATAAGATAAACTTTTTTTTTTTTTTTTAAATTTGGCCGACCCTGAGAACGAGTTTCGGAGAGGGCCTGTCGACCCTCAAAGGGTTAATTAAATTTACATTATTTCTTATGGGGAAAATGGTTTCCGTTTTCGCGAATTGCTCTGGAACGGATTAAACACAAAAACCAAGGGTCCACTGTAGGCAGTTTCTTGTACTTGATTGATAGAACAAAAGGAGTGCTAGCGATATAGCTATGAATATAGTTGACTGGAACAATGGAATTGGCCCAAAATAGGGTTCAAAGTGGGTGAAATAGCTGATGCGTAAATGTTGCCAAGACTACTAACTTCATGAAAGCATAATTCCGTGAGTTTTCCACCAAATTTCGTACTTTTGGTTTCATTTCCATTGTTAAAAGGTTGTCATTTCATAAGATTTTTTTTTTTAAATTCTTCGACACTGAGAGCAAGTTTGCGAGCAGGGGTCTCGACAGTGAACGGGTTAAGTTGGTATGATAGTATTTATTTATGGTGAATGTTAATGTTTGTTGCTTGTATTGTTTGTTGATGTTATCCTTATTATTGTGTATATTTTTTATTAAGCCTGTGAGTGCTGAGTGATGTACTCAGTGCTCCATAAATAACAGCAATAACAGCTATTATTATTCCCTCACCCCTCTTTTTTTCACTCCAGATTTATATATTCTCTTTGCCATCCTGTTGTACTTCATCCTCTCTGAATGTCTAAACTACCTCAATATCCTCTCCTTATTTTTTAATTATAATTTTGGCAGCCCTACATCTAATTTCCATGCTTCGAATCCTCCACATAATGTTTACACTGTCTTCTTCAAACCTCGCATCTCTACTGCCTCGAGCCTCCTCTGTGTAATGTTTAAAGTCCATACTTTGCACCTTTTAACAATGTTCATACCACTATAATTGGGTACATTTTCCTCTTTTCCTCCATGGATAAAGTTGTTTCCAAAAGTACCTCAATGCACCACCCACCAACCACCCACCTATCCCCCCACCCCCTTATCTTTTCTGTGATTCACCTCGTCATTTATAGACCCATATGCCAACAAGTACTCTCCCAAATAGCTGAACACCGGTACATGTCCTTCCTCCAGACTCGCTCCCTCCATTTCAATATCCAATCTTTTCATTGCTTGGAGTTTTCATTACTCTCATCACCTGCCCAGCCTTCCTCTCATATAAGCATGCAGTAGTGCTAGGAAATCTTTTCTATTTAATTGTCCTTTTCATGACCTTGTTCGTAGTTAAGTACAGTAGGGCCCCACTTATACAGCAGGTTAGGTTCCAGGTTACTGCTGGAAAGCAGTAATAGAACTAGGCATTAAAAAACACAATAAAAAGTAAAATTCATACACTGTACATTCATTACTTACGTTAAAATATTTGTAGTCTTAATGTAGGGCGAGAGGTGAGTAGTACTTATTTGTGGGAAGTCAGGTGTAGGTAGCCTGTAGGGGTAGCTGCTTGGGCTACACCTACGTACATAGCTATACGATATTTAATGCGGCTGAGAGTCATATTATTACCAGCGACATACCTTGTACACTGAGTTTAATCGTTTCTAACAACTACCTTTAGATGCCATCATAAATGAAGGGAGAGGTAATGAGAATTCATGCTGAGAAATGGCGAATTGCAAACAATAGTGGAAGGGAGTGACTGGGCCAAACGCAGATTCGTACTTTTTCTCTGGTGCTGAACCAGAGAAAACAATGTTTTCCCTTCGCTGGCTACCACACCCATAATAATAATAATGTGAAATTTATTGTACTGTGTGTATGTATCATGTTCATGTGCTATGTAACATGTTTTTTATATAATTTTGAAAAAATATCATAGATGGATTAATGAAACTGTCCATATTAATGTAAAATAAGATATTTAATGTGCCCAAGAGTGATTATTATTACGTAGTACTAATATTACATTAAGCCTAGAGGGACACGCTTAGTGATTTTAATGTGTACCTGCATGCCAGCACAGTGTGTAAGTACTTGTATATTTAGGTACAGGTACACATAAATATAATTATCAGAGATGTGCTCACAGAGAATATAAACAAACCAGGTGGGGTGCGCCGTATCAAAAAGGTGGGGAGCCGTATATTGAGTTTTGGTCATAAATTGAAATCACTGTATTAGCGGAACGCCGTAAAGATTGGCCCTACTGTATTCTCTCTTTTCTTTCTATCAGTTAGCAAGGACATTTTTAAGTATTTGTGGATTTAGTAATCCTTTTTTTTTTCTCTCTTTAAAAGTCATTTGGTAGCACATCCTTGGATTTTTCAGTGTTTACTTTTTTTAGGTAGGGACACCATCACTGCTACATATTCTAATTTTAGTCTAGTGTACAATGCAAATAGTTATTTTTATTATTTTCCTGTCCATAAACAGTATCTGAAAGTTACTTTAAAGTATACAAATGTGACATGAGAGTTGCTCAAGACTTCATCTGTGTGATCTTCCAGCGACATTCTTTTTTGTCCATGATGACCCCTGATTTTTTTTTTTTCCAGGATCAGTTAACTTGACATTCCTTTTTCTTGAACTTTTCCCCGAGACCATTAAAATTTTCTCGCAGTAGAATATTCCTTGAATTGTAGCCTTTAACAAAAATGCTTCATAGTATTGCATTATTGTACAGACTTTCTTGTTTATAATTTTAAATTCTTATTCATTTATAATATTGTACATACTACTTTTTAAACTGATAAAGAAATATAATGCATTAATTAAGGAAGAATCATTTTAAGCATTTGTTAGTAGCTATTTATGATTGAGATATTCTGATCAAAGATAAGGGCAATTTTCATTATGTAGCTTATTAGTGCTTTTTAGAAGTTTTGTAATGAGGGACTTAATTTCAAATAATTTAGTTTTATTGATTTTGATAAGCTTTCATTTAGTTTTGAATTATATTTTTTCAGGGTTACACAAATATCTCAGATTGTCAACTGTCCATCATCATCTGTAAGCTCTCTAGAACTTAGTGGTGTGCTGTTTAAATCCCTATCTGCAAACCCGGCTAAGGATTCAAGCTTTTCAACGGGCAAAGGTCTGCAGCCTGTGCCTGAAGTTGAAAACTATGAAGGAAGAAAGAAAGATATACAGCACTGTGATATAACGCATCGGCTTTTTAAGGTGAAACCTCCGGTCTCCTACATAAAGAAAAATTCAAAACTATCTCCGGTATTCTCATCAGATAATAAACCAGTGAATATTGTTGAAAATAATAATGTACAACATTGTGATAGTGCTGGTCATATTACCCACACTGATGAATTACTGGTACCCCATACAGAATGTAAGGTAATTGCATCTCCTGAGCTTTTCTCATCACATAATGAAACTTCTGGCATTGTTAATAATGAGAAAGAAGTAGGGCACTTTACCCATAAAAATGATGCAGAGAAGACCTCAGAATCAGTGAGCAGTAAATCTCTTCAGCTTTTTTCATCATATTATGAATCAAATCCTGTTGATTATCAAAATGTGGCAGGTAATATTACCCACAAAAATCACTTATCAGTGATCTCTACCAAAACTAAGGTCATGACTTCTCAGGTTTTATCAACAGGTGATGACTCGTGTGTTACAGTGCATAATGAGAATGCAGCAGGTCAGCCAGTTAGTAGTAAAATGCTTCATGAAAGAAAAGAGTTAACCAGTTTAGTAGGAGACAGAAAAAGAGGTAGAGCTGTCAGGAGAACTGCAAGAAAGATTGATGTAATTGATAAATCAAGTTTTCCATCTAATGCAAGATGTAAGGATACAATGAAAGCAAATGTTTTACTTGACCTTGATGAAAATAATGATTTAAGAAATAAAGTCACCTTGAATACCAATCACAGACTTAAGATACCTATAATAAAATTGTACCGAATCTCGGATCAGCCAGAGCCCACTTTAACAGTCGAAAAAATTTTTAATTCTGTAAATAAATTATCTCCAGTACAAAGTAGAGTAACTGATTCATGTTTGCACAGTTCCTCAGAACAAAGTGACAATTTAAAAACCAGGTGTGTATTTTCATTGGACCCTAAAATAACAAATAGAAAATCGGAGAACTCTCCAGGTTCTCAGCGTTCTGGGAAATCGAGCATTTGCACAAGTACTCCCGCAGATGCTAATAAGCACAAAACAGTTTTTAGCTTTAATGCTTCTCCTTCAAATGACAATGTGCTTTCCCCTGTACCCTGGGAAAATTATGCCATTTCTATAGATTCTTCAGTGTTTGAGAGCCCAATGATTCATAAAGAAAAAAGTGCAGCATTGTCAAATGTAACTGGAGGCAGTTCCTCTTTAGGAAGTAGATATGAAACCTGTGTAACATCTAATAAATGTGGTTTAAATGTCGATGCAAGTTTTAAAATGGAAAAGAATTGTGAATCAGTAAAAGGCATTAATGGTTGCAGTGAAATAATGAATGGACCAGAGGGAGCATTTGTGCCTGTATATAACTTTAAAAGTAGCTTACAAACCGAATTAACATCATCCCAGATCCAAGTGACTCGTGATAAAGAAGTGTCAAAAACAAGTACAACAATGGAAAGGAGCCAAGACAATTTTACAGATATATCTCTGAAGCTGGGTAATTTGAAAAGGAGGAAAAGAAATATGACTAAAAGACCACAAGTAAGGAGATTAAAATCTCCAGTAGACCTCTCTGCAGGAGGAGAATCTGTAATCCTAGTAGCAGAGAGAGAGGAGGATACTGTTAGCATAAACCTAATGCTCTCAAGTAGGAAAAGAAATAAATCTGAAAGAGTTGCACAGCAGTTGAAATTTGATCACTCCTCAACATGTTCTGGTCATGCTGTGACGAGCACTTCTGAAACAGGTAATATATCTAGCAGATCAGCTGAAGTTGAGCAGTCAATAATTTTAACAAGAAAATCAAGAGTGGCGCTTGGTAAAGAAAATCGGCCACTTGTTGAACAGCGCTCCTCATTTTGTAGAAGCAGAAAGTCAGAGAGAATACAAAAGAGGAAGCACAAAAATTTTTATACTGCAGCTCAAAACCAGGAATCTGATAATGAGCACTCTTCGTACCTCTCAAGGTCAAGATTAAAATGCAATACAGTAAACATTTCTGACACTGAACAGTCCCCTATTTTGACAAGAAAGCGAAGGTCTTGTAGATTGTTAAAATGTGAAAATACAATTCCTTTGACTATTGCTACAAATGAACAGTGCTCACAGTTTCTTTCAGTGAACACTAAGTTGGAGAGACTGCCTTTGAGGGAATATAATACTGGGCATAGAAATGTAAGAAAAGAGAAGGTATCGAATGTAATGAATACAAGCAAATTATTAGCAAAAATGACAAAAGTTGGATGCAGTAGCTGTAGAATCGGCCGTGCATCATTTGGTAGTACATCTAAGAATTCTTTTATTTCGGTCTTCAAGAAAGGCAGAAAAAGGAAAAGAAATAATTTGATCTATTATAAGGCAAGCTGTAGTCGAGAAATTAGTAAACCTTCAATTTCTTCTGAAGAGTGTTCTTCAGGTAAAGAGAGTGATTGTGAAATTTTGGCATCTTCTAGGGATGAACCTTCAACTCAGGGAGAACTTAGCATTGAGGCTGGAACCATGGAACCAAAATTTGGCTCGGTTGAAGCATCTGAAGGAGGATTGATGGCGCTTCTGTCATAAAACTGGAAAGTCCTAATAATCTAGCAGAATTTAAAGAAGCAAGTATTGAGTCTCGGGAATGTAACTGCATGTCTCGTGGTGTTGAAGCTGGTCAAGAATTTAATAATGCTGGTAACAAAAGCTCCAAGTCTATGAAATCAGTGCACTCTATTTCAAGTTTGACTTCTACCCATGAACTTAATGGTCATGGATTCATGCCTGCTCTTGGTGAAATGCTTAAGATGTCGGGGACAAGATGGAAAAGGCCCTTCAGAAGCACAGCAATTTCCAAAATAATCTTCATCCTCGCTGAGGGGTCAATTTAACTGAAATATTCGTTTGTCTTTTTGCATATTTTCAGAAAAGTGAG